CGGCTCCCACCAATTGCTACCCCCGCCCCCGTTCCTCCCGCCACCCGCCCTCACGCCCAGCACAGTGCCCTGCACACAGTAGGCGCTCAATCAATGTTCGTGGATGATGATGATGATGATGATGAAAAAAATGCAGCATCAACGGCAGCAAGCGGACCACGCGAACGGTGAGCGGCGGGACCTGGGCACTCGCTGCCACAGCTGACCCTTGTCATGGTCCTCCTCCCACCCTCGCCCCTCCCCGCCCCCACGGCTCGGCTCGGCTGCGCGGGTGGGCTGAGGGGGTTGGAGAGGTTGCTTCCAGCCCCGTGATCTACAGATGCGCGGAAAAACCACTTGGCTCTCCTTCAGGCCCTGAATGTCAAAGTTAATTCTGCATTTGTGGGGTGGGGGCCGCCGCTGAGTCCCTGGGCGCTGGGCAGCAGGAGGGCCAAGCCGAGGTGGTTGGCGTTCTGTGTCCTCGGGCTCAACTTTCTCCAGCACAGCTGAGCAATGGAAGGTGGCGATGGTGGGGTGGGTGAGGGGGTGGGGGGGAGGGAATGTCCGCCTCTTCTCCCCTGCTCTTTGCTCCTGTCCCCGGATTGACAAGCAAGGCCTCTGGCGGCATCCGGAAAATTCAAGGATTGCCCGGTTTCACCCTTCGGGTGTCGGTGGGCGAAGCACCCCCTTCCCCTGTAGAGGGGAGGCCCGGCGTCATATGGGGTGGGAGAGGGAGGGGCGGATGGGGCAGTATTCCCGCCCCTGGCGCTGGCTGTGCGCTCGGTAACCTAGCAATGCCTGGGGAGCCGCTGCCGCGGTTGGGCTCCCCTCCCCAACCCGAGGACCACGTGCGCTTTCCACACTGGCCGGAGTTGAGTCTAGGGAGACCGGAGCAGCTCCTTGCCAGCCCAATCCCCTCTTCCCTGGAGGTCGCAGGGGGAGGGGCCCTGCCTTCTGCTCAGGCGCAAAGCGCTCGTCAAGCAATGGTGGGCCGGACCCATCCCTGGGCTTGGTTGCCTTTGCCCCCTTGTCAGGCTCCAGGGCAGGCAGACCTGTGCTTGCTTTGACTTTGCCTGGTCTCCACTTAACAATAATTGGCTTTTCGAACGCGTGTCCCTCCACCTCACATTTTGCCATCCATAAAGAGATATGGATCAAAGGCGTTCAGGAAACCTGCCTAGGTTTTGACCTGTCTCAAAGCCGGCAGGGGCTTCTTACAGGATGCCCCCTGGGGGCTCTGCCTTGAGTGCACACCGATGCCAGACTACTCACGTGGCCTCTGGTATCACCTAGCCTGTCTCCCCTAGGTGCAGGAGGGCAGCCTGCCTGCCTGGTGGACTCTGGATGCTGGCTTGGCCGCTGCAGCTGCAATTTAAAATGCAAAAAAGCCCTAAAGATGTTTTCTGTTTTCAGAAGGCTGTGGAGGAAATGAGTCCCAAGCATCATGAATTTTCATTTGCAGGAAGCTCAGTGTATAATCTAGATATTTGTTATGGGGCTTTTAGTATTGCTGGGTGCCAGTGAAGGATGTGTTATTTTTTTTCTTGCATGCCGAAAGAGTTGCATTTGTGGCTGTGGGAAGATGCTAGAGTAGCACCCTGAGAGTGATTAATATGACTATTGAATTCTTGATACTGCCCCTCTCCCCCCTCCCTCTTTGTGTGTGTGTTGTACTGGTGGTAGTTACTTCAGAGAAAAACTGTTGAACTTATCTGTTCAGTCGTTAGGGTTACGTGGGTTTTGGAAAGCGGAAAGAGCGTGGGATAAATGTGGGGATGACTTCAGCTGCTCTAAGGAACTCATGAAAGGATGCCTTGTGGAGATTTGCTAACCTTGGTGGCTGGGCCGCAGGGCTGACCCCGAGTGCCTGGAGCTCAGGGCAGAGCAGATGCACTTTTCCTGCAGCCCCCGCTGGTCAAACACAGCCTGTAAGGTTCAAGGGGGGAACATAGGTGTGACCCCCTGGTGGCTGATCAAACACAGCCTGTGAGGTTCAAGGTGGGAGCATAGGTGTGACCCCTGGTGGCTGATCAAACACAGCCTGTGAGGTTCAAGGTGGGAACATAGGTGTGACCCCC